TATTACAATCTGAATTTCTTTCCCTCTAATCTATTTGCCTCTGCTCAATTTCTCTGCCTTCTATCTGGCTGCTCTGCTGTCAATGAACTGTTTAGTAGCAGAAACAACCTATATGGATTCTTGCTCTCTCTTCTGTATCAATTCTCCACCCCTCCCCACCACCTAATGTTTTTTTTTTTTCTAAAACCCTATAAACATGCAAGAAAGCAAAAAATGTCAGGAGGTGGGGGAATAGAAAATAGTGGAAGCAGCTGATGGCTAAGGGAAAAGATCAAGATAGGCGAAACATTACAGCATGGTATTATACTTCACATAAAAAATAAACCACAGTTCCCCTTTAAATATTGTTCATCTGTTTTTTCCTGTATAACTCCATGAATAAATGCTCTTTATTTGCTTTCAAATTTCTACTGTTATCCAGATTCACTTTAATCAAGTTTCTTGCTCCAGCAACTCCCTGAAACTTATCAAAGTTACCAATAACTTGTGTGCTGCTTAATCCAATGGCTAGTTTTCAATACTCATTTTATTTGATTCACTGACAGTATTTGCCAAGGGCAAACACCTTTTCCTTCCTGAGATCACTTAGAAGACATTTTATGCTACTGATTTTCCTGCTTCAGTAGTTTGCACCCTTAGTCTCCTTTGTTGTCTCTCTTCCTGACCTGTACATAATGGATAACTCTCTCTAGTCTGCAGCCCTATCTTTAACAATTACTTCCTCAGGCTCTCAATCTCAGACTTAAAGACAACTATTAAGTGAACCAGCTTCTCTCCAGATTTGTATATTAAAAAGGTTACTTCATACCTTTATTCGGATTGTTAAATTTGTAACAGAGTTCCTCATTTCCCATCTGAACTGTAGTTGGTAGGTGCCATCCAGTCAGTTGGACCCATAGTTACAGGATGCATAACAGAAAGAAACAGTGCCTGGTCCTGTGCCATCCTTGTAATTGTTCCTATGCCTGAGATCACTTTGCAGCCACAGTGTCAATCTATCTCACTGAAGGTCTTCCTCTATTTTGTTGCCCCTCCACTTTAACAAACATGATGTCCTTTTTTAGGGATTGGTCGTTCCTGACAATATGTCCAAAGAAAGTAAGACAAAGTCTTGCTATCCTTGCCTCTAAGGAGCACCCTGGCCATACTTCTTCCAAGCCCATTTGAATGCACCCCGTTAATCATTTTGTCATCTTAGTTAAAAACAAAACAAAACCCAATCATACTTTTTGGAAGACAATAGTACACAGAGGTGGGGAGGTCAAACTACTGGGAAGTTTAATTAATAATTTAAACTGTTAGACACAAAGTTGACGATCCAAAATGTAACCTCCCACCTAATTTGCCAATAAAAAAATTAA